CCACCATCCTTCTCACTCTCTTGGAGAGTCGTGTTAAAATCACCAAGTACCACGAAAGGGAGATGAATGTTCGCGCACATGTCACGAAGCTGAATCAGCTGGGAAGCTCGGGTTGCAAGATTGCAACTAATGTAGACAAACACCACCACATAAGAAACATTTATTTCATTAACTTGAACACAAATACAAAAATTGGAATGAAATAACACCGAGGCGTCAACCCCGGGGGACCAAGCCGCTACTAACCCACCAGATGCATCAATCGCATCAACGAAAAAACAACGAGAATAAGGAAAACCTAAACCCCGCATACGACGGGAAACTACTCGCCGGCTCGAACGTGTCTCAGAAAAGAACACAAGGTCCGGTTTATTGGAATGCAGTAAACCAACAGCAGATTGGAAAGTGAGGGATGGTCCAATGCCTCTCACATTCCAGGCAAGAAGCCTCATTTATCCGGCTGGGGCCATTCACAACTGGCTTCCTCCACCGACTCAGGGTCCACAATCTCTTCCACGAACTGTTTCTTAGGGGTAGGTATTTCCGCAATTGCCCCCTCCATCTCGTCAATATGACGTTTTTTGGTTCCCAACCCCGGGTCCGACAAATTGGACCCATATTCATTGAAATCAAGTTTCTCTGCCGTGTCATTCTCTCCTTGCCCAGCATCAGTTGCCGCCTTGCTACCCCTAGGTAGAACCAGAATTGGGTCAGCTTGTGTATCAGCCATGGACAGCCCATTTTCGAACGCCTCAACAACTTGGCGAACCCGATTTGGTTGGTGAAGCCGCTTAAATTTCTTTTGAACCAATGGCTCACGTCGACGAATCTCAAAATTCATCTCCTCGCCCTCCACTGATTCTTCCTCCGAGTCAGCCACAGCAGGGGTGTTTTCCTGGGCTTTCGGCCCATCTGGATCAGTCAAGCCCAACTCCACTCCCTCCAACCCCCATCCATGAGAGTCTCCGCATCTGCTTCAGCATCCAGCTTGACATGGGCCAGGGCCTGCTTGTTTGATCGGTTATGCGATCCGCCTTTTGTAGCCAACGGGCCATCCTTCACGGTACCAGGCCTCTTCTTAACAACATTCTTCTTCTTCAGAGATGGATTTCTTTTGGCCCGCCCACTTCCCCTCTCAGCTGAACCGGCGTGCAAGGCGGCAGGGAACGCGACTTTTCGAACAGGTTGTGGCTCCGATACCTCGTGCACCACAAACTCATCCTCCGATTCGTTTTCAAGGAGGAGGCGGCGGCGGCGGGTGGTAATTTGATCACCCATGCCCACCTCCGGCAGGACCCCAGTCCTCTTCCCCCCTGCTGACCGAGACCCGGGTCAATCTCCTTCCTAGTGCCCCTAGTTTCCCGGCTCGCCGGAGGCATCTTTCCAATAGCACGAGCAGGCCTAGGGCCAATAGCACCATGGCTCTGCATCCCCGTCGAGTCCGAAGCTTGGCTCCGCTGCTGTCCACGGCGGACACGATTGCCAAGGGATATTTTAGGGGATTTCGAAACTGAAACCCGAAACTGCCCCTTCTCCCTCTGAGCTTGCGGCTCCACGGCTTGGAAGGGTTTATGCGAAGTACCCATCCAAAATGGGCTCTTTTCCTCCACAATTTGCTTCGCATGAATACCCTCTCGTTTGGCTTCAAGAGTCACCCGAGGTTCAGCCACCGGGTTAGCCCTCGTTGCTTTGTTGATCCAAACTGAATTAGGTCGACTCGGGACATACTGATCATCATCCCCCTCCTCCCGCAACTTCTTCCCCATTTTCTTTGTTGTCATATGATTACCAAAGCATTCCTTCCTTGTAGGGGGATCAAACGAGCAAGCCGGGCGTGAATGCCCCAGGCGGCCACAATGGTAGCAGCAAGTTGGGAGGAATTCGTATTTGAATCGAATCCAGAACTCCCCGGTCTCCTCATTCGACGCCAGCACCTGGGAACGAAGAGGCTTCGAGAAGTCCAAAACAGCCTTCACTTTCACAAACTTCTGCCCCGAATCCGTGCACAAATACACTCCAGTTTCCAGAACCCGTCCTAGCGTAGTGCTCGCAACTTTACGACCGAACTGTTGCGTGCAGCATTCATCTTGTACGTCCCATAGCTGGACTCGGAAAGGGACCAGAGCTAGCTCGTCGAAAGTCCGCCTCGTTATGGATGGAGTCCAAGCACACAAGTGAAGAACTTTATCATCAACCACCCACGGGGTCCTTTGGAGAACCCAGTTCCGAGCCGTTGGGTTTGGGAACACGAACTCAAATAGTCCGTGGGCAGCCATGCGAACAATAACACGACTCCGGGCTTGCCATGGAGTGTTGATCGCGTCCCGCATCTCCGTGAGGGTTGTGTTTTGGTCAGTGAACAGGCGGCCCAGGAGCATCTTGGAACGTCGGGCTCGGTCGGACTGAACCTCCTCGAGGGAGAAGGCCACGACCTGATCACTTGCAGCCTGAATCATGGCGGAGGGCTGCAGAACCAACAAACTTTCAGAATGGGAGTATACGGAGGAAGACAGGGAACAGGGGATCGGTGGTAAAAGGCAATATAGCGGGAAGAATTCCCTCGAAAATTCTAATGGAACTTTGGAAGGAAAGGAGACCCACGTACCAGGTAGGTGCCTTGGGAGCTTAGTCGCCAAACTTGAAAGAACCGCAAGAGATCTCCCACAATCGAGAATTTGTATAATGGGAATTGGCTGCGGATCACAATTTAAATAGGCAGGAGTACCGCGTTGGTTCGTCGGCTTGGGGAGTCCTACCGGGAGTGGGTCTGTGAAACAATCCTTATCAAAGAATATTTTCTGAAAAAGATCCCATTTACGGGGGATACGCTGAGATACGTGTGAATCAGCCATCTTCCGAAGAATCAGGGGTTGGTTAAAAACCCCACAAGTAGTTACTCTCGCCGGACGGCAGCTACCGATCGGAGTCGGCCTAAACAAGGTCGTTCGCCGGACTAGGGTCGCTTTGTCGGCCAACCCACATTCCGGCTGTTTTGTGGATGATCTCTCCCCGGTTTGGGTTTTGGGATCCGTCGCACTACAATCTTCACCACTATCAAAGGGCCGAGCGGGATAACTGGTCCCTGTCACTGTCAGGGTTTGGTTCAAAACCCCCTGAACATTTTTGCCAATCACGTCGACCACCGGGCAGCGGCAGCCTGTCGGCTTTTGGATGATTGCCCTCACCCCAGTACGGGGTCTAATACTCGTCTCACTTACCGGGCCAACAGCCCCAATTCCTTTTTTGGGATTCCTCAACACTTCCTCTTCATTCTCCAGTTCAACCGGAGTAGGAAGGCGAAACCGCCATCCTGGACGTGCTTCAAGACGTCCACGTTTGGGCAGGCGCCCAGTCGTACTAACGACCAAGGTCGGGGGTGAGGCAATTTTGCGCTTCCGGCTTCTGTTGTTAGTGCCCGGGGGACAGCGCGCCTCGCCGCCCTTCCGATTTAGACGACAGAGGACGCTCGAATCGGTGGCCTTTTTTGGTTGCCCACCACCACGAGCATCTTGGTTTCCTCGATAACCCGAGGAGTGTTGATTGTTTAGGGAGGCCTCCAGCAACGCGGCCAAGAACCATAGAAGGGTCTGACCTGCTGAACGGCAGAACTTGCCAAGAGGGAGAAGGACGAGCTGCGTCCAATCTCCGAGGAGAGAGGACAGAGCTTCTATCATGGCTTTTTTTTTTTACTGTCTTTTCGTAACATTATGAGTCAACAGTCGGCTAAAGAGGTTGTTTCCCTGTAGGCATGAGTAATTCTAGTCTCATGTGCCTCATACAATGAAGTTGAAACTATTCAAACGGAAATCGGTTTATATATGAAGTTAAAAACTAGTCTCATGTGTAGTGGTCCAGTCTGTACCTACCACATTAGAACAAATCGGGACTTGAATTGGACCATACCGAACTGAGTATAATGTGGTACGGTTTTTGTTCCTATGAATTTTATAATTAATGAATAAAATATGGATCGAATTGATATTTGGACCGAACCAAATACGATGATGGTCTGGTACTTGGTCCTAAGATATCTTTCACTAATGAACTGCGAACCAGACCAAAGCGTTGCACACCCCTATATATGAACCTAGGGATGGAATGGGGCGGGTTTGCCTAAACCATCACCATCCTCGTATTCAAATACTCAAACTCATACCCGCCCCATACCTATGCGGGGAATGTTTTGCAAACTCATCCCCATACTCGTGGGTTTTGGGTACCCATAGATACTACGCGTCTCATACATCCGACATTATTATACCTAAAACTTTATAAGAAATTTTTTAATTATAACGCTAAATGAACCTATTATATCATGAAGTCAACAAAACACGGTCATTTTCTTAATACGGTTCAAAGAATATGATCCAAAAACATTCATTAATACATAATATAGAGTATAATATTTTTTAAATTATTATGCTCCAACTCTTGATACATAATGATAAATAACTAACATATACAAATATGTTTGAGGCTTTGAGCTCTATTTCATTACGATTTTGCCAATGAGTCGGGACTTTCTAAAGGGAGGACCAATTATTATTATATTAAAAGCACAAGCACTTTTCACTGTTCATTAAGAAAAAATAGGCTATTTTTTCTCCACGGTACTGTTCACAATAGGGTTCTATCTCATATAACCAATTTTACCATAACCCTTTTTTCTCCTTTTTTTCAATATTATTCATATGGTTTTTATTGGCTACAACCACTTCTATGATAAGTCTACAATTCATAAGCAATTATATGAGTTTTATTCTTTAAAACCACTTCAACAATAAGTCTAAAATTCATTAGCAATTATTATGAAAGCACAAACACTTTTTACTGTTGATTAAGAATAACCTAATCGGTTCAATCCCTATCTTCCTAGCTTTCTTTTTCCTCAAAATTGACCCGGGTGTGAAACAAGCAACAGAATTCATGATGTGTTTCACCCGTTTCCTGAATCTGTTACCACCGATGCTCCTCCACATTATGATCATCATCAGGACGCGAGGGCCTTCTCCAGATGGCTTAGAGGAAAAGTCAACGACGCTGCGTTCTGGAACAAGTTGAAGAGCGGTCTCATTGAATCCGCGCTCTGCAAGGACGCCCATACGAGCGGAAGCGAAGGGGCAAAGAAGCATAACCGACTGTATGGTAGCTGCTGCGACACCTGCAAACGCTTCAACCTCAACAATGTTTTTTTTTTTTTTTTTTTTTAGATAAGGGTGATATATGTTTTTTTTGTTTTGTTATTAGGTACTACTAAAGGGACTCGAACCTGGGACCTCCAGGTTCATGACTAGTGGTATTACCACTAGACCAATCCCTTGTTCGTTTTTTTTTTTTTTTTTTTTTTAGATAAGGGTGATTTATGTTATTTTTTGTAATTAGGTACTACTGAAGAGATTCGAACCTGAGACCTCCAGGTTCAAGGCTAGTAGTATTACCACTAGACCAATCCCTTGTTCGTAACCTCAACAATGTTTGCCCCAGCTGGAACCAAGACCCGAAGAAGTTGTGTTACGAACACTATCATAATTCAATATTAAAAACTAACCATTAGGAGCATCTATGGCATATATGACATATATATGTCATTATAACATATGTTATACTTTAGATTGTTATATAACGTAATTTTCCTACGAGTGTTATATATATATATATGACAAAGGCAAGTATACTTCTATCGTTTCCTATACTGCGTTCACATCTATTATTTGGATTTGGATAATTCCGACCAATGAGAACTATTGGTTTGGTATTGGAAGTGGTTAGAAGGAATCAGGTGGATTTGTTTGCGCTTGTAGAAACTAGAGTGAAAAAAAGTCAAAAGAGATTTACAAAAGAAATTTGGAAGTTTTAAAGTAACATTTGTATAAGGGTCAAATAGGAATGTCCTATGAGGCATATGTATTTGAATTATGATATGGGACCTTCTAATGATCCTTGAATTATGATAGTGTTCGGATTATTAATTCTCACATATCAATTACATAAACATATTATGTAAGCCTTCCTTCAAAATTAAGACTCTATGTAAAGCTTATGAAAGTAGCTTTTCCGAAATATTTTGCAAATTACCTGATTTCAATTAAATTATAAAATGCGTGAATGAGATTTTAAATATAGTTAGTTTCTTACCGCCATGAAGCGTGGGCCAAAAAATTAGGCTATTTTTTCTCCACGGTACTGTTCACAATAGGGTTCTATCTCATATAACCAATTTTACCATAACCCTTTTTTCTTCTTTTTTGCAATATTATTCATATGGTTTTTATTGGCTACAACCACTTCTATGATAAGTCTACAATTCATAAGCAATTATATGAGTTTTATTCTTTAAAACCACTTCAACAATAAGTCTAAAATTCATTAGCAATTATTATGAAAGCACAAACACTTTTTACTGTTGATTAAGAATAAATAGGCTATTTTTTCTCCACGGGTACTGCTCACAATAGGGTTCCATCCCATATACTCAATTTTACCATAAGCCATTTTCTCCTTTTTTGCAATATTATTCATATTATTTTTATTTGCTACAACCACTTATATGATAAGTCTACAATTCATAAGCAATTATATGAGTTTTATTCTCTACAACAACTTCAACGAGAAGTCTAAAATTCATAAGCAATTATTATTAGACCACATATTATGAAATATTTATCTAACAAAATTCAATAAAAGTTACTTAAATTTAAAATTCGACGATGTTACTTACTATAACTTGATTATCCTATAAGGCCACACATTATGAAAAATTTATGCAATAACGTCTATAACTATTACATGAGTTTTACTTAATGATTAAGACACTACGTAAAGTTTATGGACAAATAATCATTTATGTATCAATTACAAAAATAATATGTAAGTTTTCTATAATAATTAAACACTACGTAAACTTTATGTAGAAATAGTTATTTACAATGCATCACTTAATCAAACGGATGACATATGTTCTTCGTAATGATTAAAACATCACGTAAAACTTACATATTTATCTTATATTAATAACTTTGTAAATTATTTGACTTAAACTAAATTATTAGTTTCTACCGCGACGGAGCGCGGGCCATAAAATTAGTGAATACTTTATTTGCATTGCCCAATTCCTTGTAGACCTAACTCCACGCCTAGGACTATGTTGAAACTTGGTGATTAGGGGAGTGATTGCGTTCTCTTTATGGCGAGAACTTGCCAGCTTTGGGACTCTGTTTTCTGGGAAATAATCTGCTGCTCTTTATTCCATTCAATCCTCTTATATAGAGGGGAAAGCCTAGCGATCGGGTTCACAAACTGACACCCTGATCTCCTACTATTTGGAGAATACTATTGATCTCCCTACACCTACGAAATCAAATCCTAACAACTACTGAAACAATTCGAGTAACAACTGAAACCAATCAAACGAAATCAATTCCTACAGCTACGTGAGCAGCAGCTAACTTTATTGGTTGGGCCTTCTTTTCAGCCACCAGACGGCCCATCACGTCGAGCACATTTGATCCTTACTTCTGTATGATCCACAGGCCCATCAGACTATCTCATTATATGCTCGGTGAAGGATAGCTAAAACATAGATCGAAGCATGTTATTACTTCTTAAATATGTAAGTTCCTGTCGAACTTTCAAATGTTGAACTTTTATGTGTATAACAACTATGTGGGTCACCTGATTCTAACTTCTAAAATCTTGTGTTCATTCAACTAAGGTTGTGCAATGGAGGAGCTCTTATCACAAGTATAAAGATAATATGAATGATGTAAACTTATCACAAGTATAAAGATAATATGAATGATGTAAACTCAATAATCAGTAGTGTCGCCGTATACGTTATTGCTTGTACATGGGTCGGTTGGTTCGGGTTTAAGTATTTTAATCACCTGGTCCATGCACTACGGTTTGGGAATTATCAAACTCAAATCCATCCAAAAAAATTTAAATCCTACGGTTTGTTTCTAATTGGGTTGGGTCGGGTTGGCGATATCTTTAAGTAAAAACCCAACCCAACATAAAATATATAATTATTAATTTATACACCATAAAAATATTTTATAAGTAATTAAAATTTCAAACAAATAAACCAAGGTGAAAGGTATCAAAATTCACAAATGTTGTTTGAGTTTTAATAAAATGTGATTTACTTCAACATATGTCTAGTTTTTTTCACGATATTTGTTGAAATAGGCTAAGAAGGTTATAAACAAATGCATCCATAATATGTTATTCTATTAAAATTGCACACAAGAAAAAGGATTACGTGAATCATAACTATATTCAATTTATGTCTAAACTTTAAGTCGAAAAATGCAGTAGATTAGGGAGACCATGATAGAAAAACATGGCGAAATATCTTAATTTTCACATAAGTATGGCTATATATGACATAAATATTTTTTAGATAGGAACTCATACTAATAGTTGGAACACGGGTTGGGTCGGGTTCTACGAGTTGTGTAATCCAAAATCCAAAACCAACCCAAAAGAGGCGGGTTGTACAAAAGAAAACCCTCACCCAATCCAAAATCTTCGTTTTAGCGATAAATACGGATGGGTTGGGTAGGGTTGGACGGGTGGATCGGTTTGCGGTTATGTTTGTTCACCCTATTGCTCATGGTACTCATCTATCCAAATATCAAACCAATTGGACCCGACCAACCAATGTCCACCTACTCATACGCCACATATTTGGGCCTCCTTCACCCAAATTTCAGAAAGGAGTGCGGGCTTCTGCCGTAATAGAAGATCAAAATTATTTGGACTGTTGGATTTGGACCGGGACTCAATGGGCCAACTCAACCCAGCATAATTCTACAATTTGCTACGACTAGTCAGGTCAAATCCATCAATGCGAAGACGTTCTGTCCTTTTACAGAATTTCCGTGATATAAATAATGACAGTTTATCATAAACGTAAATTAATTAACCCTACTGCCACTTGGCCGTTTAGATGAATTACAGACCAATAAAGTAAAATCAATATTAGAAGTCAATAGTACTAGATACCACTTAACAATAATTGTTGTTGCATGCTAATCATCTAACTATTTTTAGTATGTAACAGTAGTAATACTTAAATAGTATCTGGTGCAATTAACCCCATAAGTGTCCTTTAAGTGTAATACAATCGTGGAAAGCGGGCTAGGAAGATGAACTTATATATGAGTTTAGATGAATTAAACACTTTGGTCATTTGATTTATCGTTAAACTATTCAAAATAATTAGAGACGAAATAGTTGATATATATTGTTGATGCCCTCTCGATCTACCGTCTCTTCTTCCGTACCAGCTGACTCTCTCCCAATGAAGCCTGCACTCACAGAGGTGGGCCTTGTGGCCCGTTAGTCCTCCAACGCTCAAGTCAGTATCCTTCTTAGAGAGAGAAGTGCTGGTCATGCACAATTTTTAGTGAGAGAAGCCAAATTGAGTAAATGCTTACCCTCCTCGCTATTTATAGCCGATCATTGCTTACCTGGACCTTATCGTACGGACTTCCACGTCAGCCCTACCTTTAGTGCGGGTGACCCGGGGCGCTTCCTCCAAAGGAGATTCCCGGCGCCCTCTCTAAATACACAATTCCCACGTGCACACCCAGGCCCCTCCGGTGCGAGTACCCCTAGGCGCCTAGTGTATGCAACTTCCAACGTGCCCTTGATCCAAGCCCGAAGGCGCCTATCATGGCCCACCCCATATTGACTGGGCTCACCTTTCCCCGAACTACTTAGGCTTCGTGCTCTTAACTGGGCCTCACCCATACATCGAGGCCTCCTTATTCGTATACCCCCAACAATTGCCCCCCAGTTAGGTGCTCAAATTTGGATTCTTTGAGCGCCTAACTATTAGACTTGCTCTTTTCTTTTCCAACCTTTCTCACGGCCGTCGTTTGCCCCCCAATCATTGGGCCCCCAATCGTCTCTCCTCGGGGCGCACGGTATTTGGCTTCCCTGTTTTTTAAGCAGCCCCCCCCCCTACGCGCCTAGGCGCATTGCGCTATCATTTGTTCCTTCCTCAAGGCGCCCACGCCTGCTTACAGTTGATTGTCAGGCGCCTTTTCTTATCCGGGTGCATTAATATCTCTCCTCACCTCCCTCGCCTTGTGCCCTAGCCTTCCGGACAAGCCAAAGCGCCGCTCTTCTTCTTCAATACAAGGCGCCCCACCTCGATTCGCCTATTGCCCGGCCGCCATTATACCCACGCGCTTCTGTCAAAGGCGCCGTCGTTCTCCCTTGACCGAAGGCGCCCCTCGGTTTCGCCCATTGCCCGGTCGCCGCTGCGCCTAGGCTGCCTCGATTTCGCCCGTTGCCCGGTCGCCGCTGCGCCCGAACTGCCTCCTGACCCACGCGTCTCTGTCAAAGGCGCCGCCATTCTCCCTCGACGAAGGCGCCCTATTTCTTCCCTTGACGTCAGGCGCCCCCCGATTTCGTCCGTTGCCCGGTCGCCGCTGCGCCTAGGCTGCCTCACTCCTGCCCCCCTTCACAACCGGCGCGATATTCGAGGTGGTTGTGAATTTTGCC